CCCAACCCCTTAAAAAAAAGGATTACCTCGACCTTCATGACATCTGTTAAAACTTAAAACTGGAACTATACAGAGAGGATTAGGGTGGGCCCTTTGCAAGGATGACACAGACACACATGCATTGATTGAGAAATGGTCTAAAATTCTAAATTACAACCCTTCACCCCCTCCCCCCCGCCCCCCACACACAATAAAAGGAGGATGGCCTCCACCAACGACATTCTTCTTCTTCTTCTTCTTCTTCTTCTTCTTCTTCTTCTTCTTCAGACTTCTTCTTCTTCTTCAGACTGGAGACTTGATACTAGTTGGACAGAGGTCAGTGTTGGACTTCGGTGGTAGAGGCTGTGGTACTTACCGGATTCGAGACTTGGAGATTGTTGGGGTTGATACTCGGCGGCATCGCAGATTGGACACCGGTTACATTAGGACTGTATCTCCGACATTGGTGACTTATTGTCCATGACATTTTGATTTTGTTCGATGACATATTGGACTACCATATCGGTGACCTACTGGATTCTATCTCGGTGACATCTGGCGCTGCCTACATCTCCCACCTCCTTCATCTCTCCTCCCACCTTTCATCTGTGTATGATTGTACGGGGCCTGAGCATCATCCATGATTGGCTCAGACCCCACCATCTTATGATTGTTTGTGTGTTGAGTGATATCTGTGTGAGTCAGTCCATTTATCAGACTTCCGCTGCATACATGCTCAGCCTATATTGGTTGATCTCTTGGTTCTGCCCATACTTGTTGAGGTATTCACGAGTATGCAACAGTTTTGGTATCGGAGCAGACCAAATAATGGATCTGCTCACAAGGTAAGTCTGATTTAGGAATAGATTGCTTATTTAATCTTCCAAATCAGCTCTGCATTACTATCGAGATTCAAAGTTGCAATTTTTTATTTTTTTTCTCTCGGATTTCTGTTTAATTCGGCATTCCGTTTTCAATTCGGTATTCTGACTTTCAATTCAGGATTCTGTTTTAAATCAGTATTCTGTTTAATCCGGTATTCCGATTAATTGGTATTCTGTTTAATCCGATATTCTGTTTTAATCCGGTCTTCTGATTCTAATTTGTTATGCTATTTAAATCAGTATTCTGTTTTAATTCGGCTCTGATTTCCATTCGGTAGTCCGTTTTTAATTCGGCATTCTGTTTTTAATCTGGTACTGGTAGCACCCCGTACGCGTACGCAGTGTACGCGTACGTATTCCGGCGTACGCGTACGCGTACGAACCCAAAATCGCGCGTACGCGTACGTAAAAAAAAAAAAAAAAAAAAAAAAAAAAAAA